TCGGACAAATCTATCGCGGCGCGTTAACAGAATTTTACCGAATTCACCACGGTCCGTTTGCGTCATAGAGCAGCGGTCCCTTCCTCGGCTGCTAACGCGAACTTTCATTCGCGCCGAGCAGCGAACACGCGTAGGAAGGACGTGTCTCTGGCGTTAGGGCAATTACTAGAAAATGATACGTTCGCGAACGATAATTGCTCGTTGTTCTGCGCTGGCAAGTTCCCGGCAGCGGGAACGGTTCACAGGGAAGGTCAGCCAACTGTTCGTCAAGTATTTACTAACCGGAGAAATTTAATTTCCATCGCGATGGCAGATTTTCCCGGCGCTCGCGTCTCGAGGCTCCTTTCGAACCACCACGCTCGGAGACCGCGCGCCGTGTAATTTTCGATTCCCCGGTGATATTTCAACTACCTCGGCGCCTTCGTCCTCCGGCTCGAGCGGCGGACTCGATTGCGCTAACGCAACCGGCAAGAACTGTTCCATCCAGCCGTCGTTTCCACGGTTGTCTCGTAAATAGAATGGTCAGCGAGCGATCTCGAGGCACGCGTATGTGGGAGAGGTCGGTTCGCACGGCTCCGACCGATCCGATTCCAGGGACTCGCGAAAAAAAGAACGGTAGATGAGAAGGATAGGGGGTGGATAGGTCGACCGGCGAGCTGTCGGCCGGTGCTAACGCGTCGGAGCTCGCGCCGAGGTGGGGAAGTAAAAGCGTCCTCGAGATTCTAGGTGAACGCTTTTCTTCCCTTCTCGCGGGAGGAAAAAGGAAGCGTGTCGAATCGCGCGCGGAACCCGCCGCGAGTCACGTTTCCATCGAGCCGGGCTGAGACGGTCGTAACATTTAGCCGGCGCGGGTTTGCCGGCTGGGTCTGGCTAGACTCATTGTCAGAGGAACGCGAAACGCGCGATAACCTATGCCGCTCGGCAAACGCAGCCCACGGGCCAGGGATCGGGCCTCGACACTCGACGCAGGTGAAATTTCGAGGCGGCGACGCGCACGCTGCTTCCTCCTGGCGCGTACGTCGCCGATCCGAGCTGCCATCAGCATGCACGACCGATCGCGAGTATTTTGGTCGCCGCGACGCGCCTGGGCGCAATTCCACGCTGCCGACGGTTACACAATCCTAAGTCCGGAACGGTCTTCGGAGTTTCGCGTGTCACGTACTCGTGCTCGGAGGTCGGTCTCGTTAATACCTCCGGAAGCACCTCAAAGAACCTAAAGCACCGAGAACCTGCGGTGGTTGGCTAAGCGAGAAACATCGCGCTGACCCCTCGCGATCGGTTCGTTCTTAGTAAATGGATTCCGAGCGCGTTTCCTCTCGCTAAGAGAGTGGAAACTGAATACGCGGTAATGAGAAACGGTTCCCGCAACTTTGCGTCAGCCTGTATACCTGTCAGCGAGACAATCGCACGAAAGTACACCTTTCGCGACGCTGAGTTTTCTGTTCCTGGCGCGATGCAAGGTGTCGCAAGTCATCGCCGATCGCGACGACGCGACGAGACGCGGCGCGTCGCACGCACCACGTGCTGTCCTATCGACGGGAAGTACAACGGATTGGGAAACGGAAGAAGAAACTCGCCCGACGTTCCTCCGAGTCGATACACGCTTCGATGCTTCGTCCCGATAACGGCCGATCGATTTGAAATTGGCGGGTGAAGTGGCACGAATTCCGAAGCGGGGATCGGGCGTTCCTTGGAATCCTCTTCGTCGAATCGAACGACGAGCGTCAACCGGTTCTTCCCGCGTGGCCTACTGCTGCCCGGCAGGCGGCAGTAAAATTCGCTCTCGGTGGTGCCGCATTTACGTAAACGCGACAACACGTAATATCCGTCGTTACGATCGCACATCCTTCTGCCTGTCTTTACGATCGCGCCGGAAATCGCGGCGCGGGAGGACCGCGGGAAAAAAGCGTTATCGGTCCCGCGGCATCTCGGACGCTGTCTTCGAGCAGCCGGCGAACCAGCCGTCGATCACGATCGAGAAATAAATCGCGTCGAAGGGGGTACTCGCGCGAACGACTCGAAGGTACCATTTAGACCTGGAGGAGTTGAAAGAAATTCGAGAACGAATCGATCTTTGAATAGCCACGCTTGTATTCTTGCCGATCGATCTCTCCTTTTTTTGCGAGATAGATCGCAACCAGACACGCCCACTTTCCAACTTCCTGACAATCGCTTCTGTACGTGCAATATCGCCGCGGTATGGCAGGTCCGGGTTCTGGAACGTGCACGCGTACTCGTGCCCCCCGCGCGAGATTGTATGCACGCCTGTAACGATTATTGCAAAAGATTCGCCGCGGGTCAGCCGATCGAAAGTATGGAGCGACGATCGAACACCTCCGCCCGTAATTGGTATCAGCGTGACGTCTGGCAACCGTCTTTCCCGATCGTTCCCCGAACTGGTTTGAATCGGACGATCAAAACGGAAACGCTCGATCGATAAAAATAGCCGCGGCCGGGTAATTATCGCGTCGTAGAAATTCTACGTAATTAAAAGAACGTTAACGCGGCGTACGATCGGATCGTAAACAGAGGTACGAACGACTTCCAGACTAGCCGACGATTAACGAGCCATCTTTCCGCGAACGCGAATCGAAGGCGGGCACGGAAAAATGGCGATAAACCAAGAACTGTACCGTGACACGCTTCACCGGTAGTAATCCCGACCCGAAGTAGCTCCGTGACGTACCGTTATTTCGGCTTTAAAGTTTTGTAACCGCGTGACCCAGACCCACGAAGCGATCAGCGAATGCCAAAGACTCGAGGCTAAAGCTAGCAACGCGTACGCACATGCACGCGCGCTGACTCTTAACCGGAATTCCTGTATTTCTCGACTCTCGGGCTTTCTGGATCCATTCACGCCGATCGGCGTCGCGCCGCCATTACTCTGCTCGCGTTTAATCCTGCCGTTAACTCATTACAACGAGTGAATTCCACTGTAACGGCGACTCCGAGCTGTCATATCTACAATCGAAAGCTGCTAACGGGTAATTCGATTAATCTACCAAGCACAAATCGATACGTAACATTTTTCTTTTCGCGGAAAGAGTCGTTAGAAGCTTGAAAACTCTCCGACCGCTAAAGGTTAACGTCTGCGCTCGCTCGAGTGATTGATCGCGCTTAAAAATCGAGCGAACAAGCGATAATAAATTTCACTTAGTCTTCCGGCGGAGTGAGAGATCACGCGGTCGAGTCGTGTTATTAATGCAAGGTGAAACCGTTCTAATTGAAGAACGAGCCGCGAAAGAATCGAGAGAACTTGGGCGGCGCGTAGCACGCGCGAGCCTGAACGCGTTTACACTAGGCTTAATTAACCCGTTCGCACGAAACGGTAACTCCGTGTCCCACGAGAAACGGGGTCTTCCCGAGAGCCGTCTAAAGAGACAACGGATGCTTTCACCCCGCGATTCAACGCGCGCAGTCTCCCGTATTTAAATTAACGGGGCTCTCTCGGCTAGCGGATTCAAAGGAATTACCTCCGCGAGCCTAACGATGGAATGCAAATAAGGCTCGTCGGGAGCGTCGACTCGAAAATCAAAGGCCAACCGCTCGCGATCGACCTTGAAGCACATCACCGGAAACGCTATCCCGCGAGTCGAGAGAACTGGCTCCTCTTCTAATCGTTCCGCAGATTTTATCGGCTCCTCCGGCACCCTTGGAGAAGCTCCGCGAGGCATGCCATTATCGTTGCCTACTTTTATCCTGATAGACGACCTTGAGTCCCCGACGATCAAACGGCTTATCAGCTACGAGTATCCGCGTATCTCCGCGAGCCGCGCTGGAAATCTTCGTTCGAACGCGAGACGGCCATTCCTCCGCTTGTAAATCTAACGCTGAATCTCCGCGATGGTACAAACCTCCTCGGATACTAGTGGGAATCTAGAGTCACGTATCCTTGCAACAGTTTGTCCTTTTGTCCGTCTTCCGCGTGTGCTCTCGGCCGAAGAGAGAAGAACCGCGGTCGATGTCCTCGTAAAACGCGAAATGGACAAGCGTCTGCGTGCACGTGCATATATTATAATATTTTTTATGCCGCTGTAAAGAAGCTGAATCGTTTCTCTCGCCTCTACGGCGAATTATAAGGGGCACGTGCTCCCATGTACGTGGATCGTCGGTTTCCATCGACATCCGAGCGGTCTTTTCACTCCGGGAAAAAGTTTCTCGTCGGTGCCCGTTTTGCACGCGCGAAACCCTCCATAATTCCATCGCTTTACGGCTATCTTCCGCTCGACCCACTAATTCCGATCCTTTCGCGGACGATAGGAAATCCACGGTGTGCGACTAATTCCTCGAGCCGCGCGATTCTAATAATGGCGGACGCGTGGGACAGCGCCGAAGGTTTCTCCTCGGCCGATGTCGCGCCTATTGTTCGATTCACTTTTACGTCTATCCGCGAACGAAAGGCTCCGGCGATCGGCGCGTTTTTACGGTGGAACAGACGCGCCCTTGACACGTTGCCGCCGCGTTAGCGGCACTCGTCTTACGCAAAGAGCGTCGGGAAAAATGAAGTGGGAACGAAACGGGAAAAGCGTTAATCGGCGGAGCGATAAAAAATCCCATTATCCGCATTATCGTAAAACGCTGAATCGTCGGGGGTAACGCGCGTTGTCTCGGATTCAGGTAATTACTCAGGTTTCCCTGCGCGCTTAATTGTCGAGAGTCAGCGGCCGTTGCCGATGGTTCCGCGAAGTTCGCCGCGAAAGTCGTAAAATTTCTTTGTCGTCGGCTGGCAGATAAATTTTTTCCTTTGCTCGGTGGATATTGGGATCAGCGAGCGGCAACAACCGATTCCATTTGCCTTAGGAAATACGCTGCCCGCGGTAATGGCGTCGGAGAAATGGGGCTTCGGTTATTCATTCGAGCAACGTTTAACGCGACCATTAAGATGCCACTGCAACGCCGAACGATCCGGCGATTAATGAACCCTTGGTTGTCAGAAAGATCGCCGCTTTCGAAACGTCACGATTGAGAGATGTCATTTTCTCTTGAACACAGGTTTGCAGTGCGGTCATCCGGCGGTACCGATGAACGCCAAGGTGTCGTTGTCCGATGACTCCACGGCGACCGGCGCGCTGGCGACGTACACCTGCGACACCGGCTACGAATTGTTCGGGTAAGTCTAATTGATGCCGCAAACACGCGTACTCTGGAACGTTCTTTCCACGTTAGAATCAACATATCGGTTAAATATAGACTACGCGTTGATCGCGTCTATGCAGCTGAAACGAGTCTCGAGCCGCAAAGACGATCGCTTATCGGTACGGAAACTCGGCCCAATTCCGAATACGGTTCGATCGCGTTCAGTCTGTCGATCGGAAAGCAAAACGAACGGAACCTCTCGAATTTTCTACGAGCTGCCGTCGCAATTCCTTATCGAAGTCGGCCGCGTTAGACGTCGGTTCACTGTGTACAAGTAATTTACACAACACTGCGGAGTCCTCCATTAAGTTGATCATCGGGCACCGTTACTCTCGAAATTGCTAAATAGCTGTGGATTCGCGAGGCGAGTCACGTAATCGTGACAGCCGACCATCGGCTGGAATTAAAGCGGCGGAGGAACGTATCGAACGGTGCATTAGAATTTATTTTACAGTTCCGATGCCGCACGGGCGTAGGTGCACTTGGAAAATTTCTTTTTCCTTGACTCCGAGAAATGCACGGGAACGCGTGTGGCGGTCGCAGCCGAGCGAGACGACGATCGTTTGTGTACTGTTGACCGCCATTACGGACTTTCTCCGTTTTCATATAATTCGTATGATCGACGATATTTGCTCGCGTGTCCACGTTCCGATCTCTCGTCGCGCGTCGTTTACAGCGAACCGAAGCATTCCGATCGTTTTCATCCGGCCATTGGTTCTACAGCAGCGGCAGCCTGACGTGCAACGCCCGAGGGAAATGGCAAGGGGACCTACCATTCTGCGGTAAGCATTCCACCAAAGACGAAATCTTTCCGCGGCGCATTGTAATTCCCCGGTCGCGGCACCGTGCACGATTCGATCGCTCGTCTTCCTTGACAACGAGATCGCTCACGCAGCTTTCTCCTCGAAGCTCGCCGACGCTGTACGCGGAGGGACCGCTGCATTCCGCTATCGAAGAAATTCAACCGTTCCCGCTTAAAATGCGACGACGTCTCTCTTTTCCTCCGCGCGTTCGATGGAAAGCGATTTCGCGCGCCGAAATACCATCGACCTTTTGCTCCCGATCGCGGCCTCGTTTTTATTCGCCGGCCGGCGCCGCGGCACGGAAAGAAAAGTTTCACTTTTACTTGGTCAAAATTCGGGACGGAGTGCCGGCCGAGGAAAGTTTGATAGATCCATAAAACGTGCGCCGGCGATACGTTACGCAACCGAGGGGATTCCGCTCGGTGACAGTCGCCTGAAACTGCAACCGCCTTCGCCGCGCCGCGCCGGCGGAAATCATTTTGAACGAGCTGTCGCCGAGAATGCGGAAACTCCTGGAAGCCGGAAGATTCTGAAACTCTAAGTACTTACGTGCGACTCGGTGAAACCGGGTACGACACCAGATAATCGTTTCTCCCTATTACTAAACGCATCCTGCCGTTAATGGCCGTTTTGTTAGCCGTTCGTGGCCAGCAGCACCTTTCTTCGGCGTCGTTCGGTTCCGAACAATTTGCTTCGCGCCGCGTCGAATCGAAACCCGGGGCTCATTCTTTTTGCGCGTTTCGCAGTCGGACCGTCGCGGGGTATAAACATGGAAAATCTGCTACAGGTACGAACGTCGCTTTCCGCAAACCGACCAATCAGTCGACGACCGTACGGGGCGGAGATGCGAGTCACGGAAACGACGGAGACTCGAGCACGGAACACGACGGGAAGAGGTGCACGGAGACCCAGAGCGAGCCCAGCCCTTGGTGGAAGGTCGACCTCCTCAAGTCGTACTCGGTAAAGGTCGTCAGAGTGACGACCAGGGGTTGCTGCGGTAAATTCGCCAATTACACCTGCGCGATCTCCCAATGTGAACGTTGCATAGATCAACGATAGATTTACGGACGTTTATTCTACATTTTGATCTATTGTTTCTAGAAAACTATGTGTTCGTTTATACAGATCGAGAAAATTGTAGCTTCGAAGCTGGAGTACAATGTGTATTCGCAAAGCGACTGAAACTGTTACTAAATGATGTTTAAAACATTCGGTATCCGTGATATCGACGGATTTCGTGGATACAGTGTTAAGGGACATCTAAGTAGTCAATGTACTTTTCCTTGTATCGGAAAAGCCGGTTTTCCTTCTTTCATTCGGTCGGAAGTCAATCTATCGATGTCCCTTAATCCGTTCGTCGAACATTGGGTTGTCCGAATCGAAATTGAGAAAGTTCTCGCCCCCGATAGGTCATCAACCCCTTCAGGACATCGAGATACGCGTCGGCAATAGTAGCGCAGAGTTGCAACGGAACCCTTTGTGCGCCTGGTTTCCCGGCACGATCGGTAAGCAGTTGGCGAGTCGTTGAGCCGTTAAAAGTAACTCGGGGTGCTGTTATGCATTCAACGTTGTTTCGGGATGGATAGCGACTCGCGGCGAAAATTCATGCAAGGATACGGGGGAACTTAAAACTCGTCAGTTCACGCTTTAAGCGTGTTCTCCCACCGGTTCGTTTTAACCGTCTGAATGCCACGGGTCCGTCTAAAAGACGGTCGAAGAATACCAAGCGGCGCGATCGCCTTTCGTTTCAGCTGAGAAACAGACTGACGCTTTTCTATTTTCACGTAAACGAACCTAAATGGTGCAATCGTTCTATTCTTCCATTTCTAAACAGGCAATAACAAAACTAAATAGACGGAAGACGAATAAATAAACTTCATTTGATTCTACGAACGGTTTTAAACGAATCTACTGCCACTTTTACGCAGTATATCGAAGAAACTTGCCACTCGAACGCTAAAAGAATATCGTGTATCCATCATCGAAGAACGTTGGATGTTTCTAAGGAGAAAGTTTAGAGTACAAAGCTTTAACAAGTGCGATTCCGACTGTACCTCCGATCTTGCGATCGGTTCTTACAGAGGAAGGCATCACGAAGACCTTCGTCTGCGCCAGAGCACTGATCGGTCAGTACGTGTTCCTACAGCTGGTCGGTGTCGAGGGCAGCCTGAGCCTCTGCGAGGTCGAAGTGTTCGCCGTGGACGGTAAGTCGAGGGCTCAAGAACGCGAACGATGCCTGGCAGTCTGTCAAATATATTCCTGTAGAATAGTTCTACCCGATTTTCCGCAGAGTTCTCGACGGACAGGTGCGCCTACGCCGGGACGCCAGCTGACGCTGATCTGGCAGCGTTCAATTCCACCTGTTACGAGTTCGTAGTGAAGAAGGGTGGATCCTTTCAGGAGGCTCGAAACTACTGCCGCACGAGGGGCGGCGATCTCGTCCACGGCTTCAAGGTATTACGTTTCCCTTCGCTCGTTAAACGAACAACCGCATCGGCATAGAACTCTCACACGCATCTGAAAGTTGCGAGTCACGCGAGCGTTTCCCAGTTTTTTATCTCGACGGCTACACTTTTCCTCGGCTCTTCTTTCGCGTGAATTTGATTTCAACGTTGCCGGTTGCAGGGCGCCGCGTCGGTGTACATACTGAACAATCTCGAGAGGCGAAAGGACAAGCTGAAGACGCAGCTGGTTTGGATCGGCGCGCAGAAGGAGCCTCTGATCACCGCGCGAACGTGGCGATGGGTCGACGGTGAGTATCCTATGACTCTTTCGTTTTTGACGTGGCTGTCCCCTATTATCCATTGACTACGGCCAAAAGACTTCTTTTCCCTTCTCACGATCTATCTACCTATCGACGGTATTCATGGGAACGGGGTCGCGGAGCTGTCGGGGTTGAGCAACGACGGTTGAGATCCGAAGACCCGAATCGATCGGACTGGATGGTAATTACATGGTAATCACGGCTCTGCCCGCAAACGAATTCATTTAGTCCGAATCGTTCGGAAACCGGTGTATCGGCTGACCGTCGTGCTCCGCGAAATCGAAGTTCAACTCGGCGCGGTCGAATGCGGAGCGACCGACTGTCGGCGCAATCGCACGCGCTAATAAATAGAACGTGAAAGTTGCCACTGTGGGGAAATCGACGGGAAGTTACACCCGCGAGCGTCTGCTCGAACGTATAATCTCTGCTAATCGTTTGTTGCGTCTGGCGTTCGCCGGCCAGACGAAAACATCGCGCGCCCGATCGTGGGACTTTCGGCGATGAACATATTAGAATCGGCTGACCAACGTTTCTGGATCTATAAGAAAAGAAACTCGGCGATCGGGCTGTTCGGGAATGCTTGCGAAAGGTTACGCGATCGATGTTTTTAGGCGAGATCGTGCAAAAACCTTCCTGGGGAAAGGACCAGCCGAACAATTACAATGGCGAGCAAAACTGCGTGGTGCTGGACGGCGGTCGCAGTTGGCTTTGGAATGACGTCGGTTGCAACCTTGATTACTTGCACTGGATATGTCAGAGCAGTGAGTGCGGACCGATACGCGCGCAACGAGCCACGAATGTGGTTTCCACCGTAAGAATATCTGATCTCCCCTTCGTTGACGCATGGTTCCAGGACCACCGACCTGCGGTAGCCCGGAGAAATCCGCGAACACGACGATAGTAGGGGTGAAAAGGACCATAGGATCCAGCATAGAGTACGTCTGTCCCGACGGATACATGCTGATCGGCTCGAAGAGCAGGGTATGCGAGCCAAGCGGATTTTGGAGCGGCGAGCCGCCCACCTGCAAATGTAAGCTTAATCGCGCGCGTCTGGACGCGAGCCGCATAATTGCAGGGTCGACGAAGATGCAGCTGATGATTTGCAATCGCGTCGCGTATAATCAACGTCGTTGCTTCGATGTCCCCAGTCGTCGACTGCGGCCCTCTGCCGGAACTGGAGAACGGTGCCATCACGCTGGTTGATAAAAGAACGACGCACGGAGCGCTCGCCGATTACGCCTGCAAAGAGAATTACACGTTGCTCGGGGACGCGAGACGCAGATGCGGAGACGGCGGTATTTGGAGTGGACATAAACCTCAATGCTTATGTACGGAACAACCGGCAGTGGTACCGACTGAACGGCGACGATTAACGTACCGCGTGATGTTTAACGTTCCCTATTTTCCAGTCGATTGGTGCCCAGAACCGCCGCCGGTGAATGGCGGAGTTGTCACGACCACTGGGAGGCGAGCCGGATCCACCGCCACTTATTCCTGCCAAAACGGCTTTATCTTGTTCGGTGATAATGTGAGCAGTTTTTCGAAATGATCATTCTTTCGGGATGCCTGCAGCTATCTGCCCTCTTAACACGTTGAACGCGGAGTCGATTTTCTGTTGATTTTCTTACAGGGAAAAGATAGATCCCTTAGAATTACACAGTTCGAATAGCATGTTCGTTTCACGCGTCGCTCAAACGAAACATCTACTGTCAGTTCTCAGAGACTGACGTCGCGCTCAACGTGTTAATCATTTTATTGTACATGTGTTAACGAGTGCAATGGGTTCCGAAAGGTTCTCGCGTGCGACGTCGGAGGAGAGTGGTCGGGCAAAGCTCCCCAATGCAAGTTCGTCGACTGCGGCGCACCCGCTCAAATCGAATTCGGCTCCGTGACCTTGATCAACGGCACCACCACGGTGAAAAGCTGGGCGGTGTATTCGTGTTTGGAGGACTACTGGCTGGTCGGTGAGGCGAGACAGGAGTGCACGAAAGAAGGGAAATGGAGTCACGATACGCCGTCGTGCGAGTGTGAGTGACGCTCTGTCTATGGATTGACCTCGATCCCGGTGAAATAGTGGACGTTCAATTATTTCTTTAACGCAGTGATCACGTGCGAGGAACCCGAGGTGCCAGCAGGAAGCTACGTTGTCGGGTACGATTTGAATGTCCACAGTTCCATCGAGTACCACTGCGAAGCGGGATACCTGCTTCAAGGGGAGGCCAGGCACACGTGCGGCAAAGACGGAGAGTGGACCGGAGAAGTGCCCACTTGCGAATGTAAGCCGGCTGTTCTGCTTCATTCGTAATATTCAACACTCCTCCGAGAAGTTGACGTATAATTGAGTCGCTCGGAAGTCGATACGGTTAGACGCAGAAAATGAAAATTGAGAAAATTCATGGTTTTTAATGCATAACTATTATATCAAATATTCAGAGGCTATAAAAAGAAGGGATTTCTAATCTAGAAAAAACGAAGAACCGAGTGAATGCTTGAATAACTAAAGAGAATGTCATTTACTCCATTAAAACTCAGAGAAATCAAGAAATACCAAGCAAGTGGACTTCGATTTCTAAGCGACTCAATTATTCTCTAATTGCATTCCTCTCGTCTATCTTAACCCATAAATATAATTAAACAGTAGAAACGCATTAGCCTAGTTATCATTTCCTTGTACTGCTCTGTAATCTAAAAACATTCCTGACAAAGTGGTAACCCGAATATATATAAGGAAATGTCGAACAAACGAATTACCGGTGCGAAAATGATGAAGCATTAGGCGACATAGACTCGCAGAATACAGCAGAGTGAAACGCATTCGAGATGCAAGCGTTATCTTCCCTAGTAAGTTTGACGTTTCGCAGACGTGGAGTGCGGCAAAGTTTTGCCGGTGCTGAGCGGGTCCGTGGAATACGTTAACGGTACAACTCATCTCGGAAGCGAAATCACTTACAGTTGCACGAGGAACTACAGGCTGAACGGTGTGACGAGGAGATACTGCCTGGACAATGGTCAATGGAGCGACGCGACTCCGAAGTGCGAAGGTACCCGGATACTCGGAGCGTTCACGATCGTTTAGCGTTCACGCATGGGCGACTCTGATTAGAATGCGCTCGTTGCAGAGATCCGCTGCCCGGAGCCCGTTTACGCGGAGCACGGGATCCTCTCGGTGACCGGGAACGACAGAATGTACGGGAGGACGTTGATTCGCACCGGAACACCGGAGAACTCGAACACCGGCGCGACTTCCTACAAAATCGGCGCTCTCGCCAAGTATCGCTGCGAGAGAGGGTACAAAGTGGTCGGGGAACCTCTGTCCACGTGCGAGGACAACGGGAAGTGGAGCGGCGAGGTTCCGCGATGTGTCTGTAAGAAACTCGGGGTGCCATTTCGTTCGAGCGGCTGGCGAATTGGGCGGAAGAGTGATTCGAGAACTGTTTTCCAGACGTCGATTGCGGCAAGCCCGAGCAAATCCAACACGGGAAGTACACGCTCACGTCGAACGCGACTTACTACGGGGCAGCTGCGCTCTACGAGTGCGATGGTAACTTCGAATTGGACGGATTCGCCAGAAGACTGTGCCTGGAGAACGGCACTTGGAGCAGTGACACGCCGGTTTGTAAAGGTACCTGTGTGGCACTAATATTCCTAGCGTGTACATAATCGCTGTGACGTTTCTCTGCTGGAACGTTGAATGTTTTCTCTCGCCCATAGAAATCAGGTGCAAGGATCCTGGAAAGGAGGGAGTACTGTCCACGCAAGTTTCGACGCACAGCGTGGGAGGCATTGCCCACTATGCGTGTCCACGTGGATACTACATGGAGGGAAACGAAAGCCGAGTGTGCTTGCAGAATGGCTCTTGGAGCGGAAGCGTGCCCGCCTGTTTCTGTATGTATACGTCGTTCTGCTTTTTAACGATACTGTGTCTGTAGGATGAGATTGCAACATTCCATGAAACGTATATGACACGGTTTTTATAGCATTCAGTAGCAAACGTATTTTTCTATGACCATACTTATTGATTGTAAGTGCGTGAAAGTTCGGTCATGATAAAAAATTACTTGGAACGCGTAGCCGTCGAGTGCAGGCATCCCGGACCCATAGAAAATGGAAGAGTAATCGTGGTGAACGGGACCACAACCTACGGCGGGACCGCAGAGTATCATTGCCTACCGCAGTTCGAGAGAGTCGGCCCGTTTCTGAGGAAATGTTTGGACACTGGATCTTGGAGCGGCGAGGAACCCAAGTGCGAGTGTAAGTGCGGCTTCTAACGATTCTAGGGTTTCTAGAAAGTGTGCCATTTAGATTTTATTCGTCCTCTGTTCGATAGTCATGCCGAACGAGGTTGCGGAAGCGCAAGGCGTGGGTACCAGCGTCGGGATTGGTGCTGGAGTCATCATATTTATATTAATTATTATCGGACTCGTTTACCTAAGACTGTACGTTCAATTTTCTACAAATAAGTTGGATTTTCAAGCCTAGATTCGTTGAACTCGGGGAAACTTGCGTCGAATACGTAACGTTCCTTTTTCAGGAGGAAAGCTACGCCGGTGAAGAACACGGAGAACGTGCAAGCTGCCGAGAGAAAGGAGGATCAGAACGCCGCTGTAATGTCTTACGCTACGCTTAACGATGGAACGCCTAACGCTATGTACGAAAATGTTCCGGAGGATGGCCTTTACGACAGCCCTTACAGCATAAGTGGCAGCACTTATGGGTAAGTAGGATAATTTAATGAGACGAACGGAAGATATGCTGGGTAAATCGCTTTACGAGTTAAACGAGATCTTTCATTTCGATGATCGAAGGTACGGCACCAACGTTAGGAGACATTACGGGAGATCCGGACATTACGAGGCAGAACCAGTTTCAAACAGAAACGGCATCACCATCAATGGCGTGTCCGTGCGATAGCCTGTAAACTAAAATATTCGAATTGTCCCCCAGAATCAGGTATTATAATATTTATGTACAGGACAGAGAAGTGGGAGACAACGACACGCGAAACATTGTTGCCTTTATTTATATTATTATATTCGGCGCATCGCCGATTTATGTAAATAAGTAAAGAGGAGGTACGCGATAATTAAGACTCCGCGCGAAATTCCCGTGATCTTTCCGCGGCGATGAAAGATGCGGTTACGATGTTTTATGGATTCGCCTGTCACTTCGGCTTGTTTGTACGCGGTGAAAAATTTTTCGAGATTTCAATCCATGTATCATTATGTATATAGAGTGTTCCCGTAATTTAGAACTATTATTTGTAAATCTCAAGTGGCGTACTTGTAACATAAGCTTGAATGTTTGTTGGTTGCTCGAATAAAGAAACCAATGCTCTTGTTTTATTTTACACGGCGATGTGTGTGTGTATGCTTTTTCGGGAAACCGAACCACCTTTCGCTTGGATAAAGAGGCAAAAATGTAACTGGTTGAAATTATACTTATAGAGAACACCGTAAACCTGATTACGAAACACGCGCCAACTATATCGGGCCCTCGTGCCGCCTTATAAGGCAATGATTTCGCTGTGAGTAACTTGCTCCAACTATGGTACCTCCAATGACGTGTTCCTCCAACAGAGTATCAGTGTTTCTTAAAAAATAGTATTTATACGAATCTCGAAATTGATTCCGATTAAGGTATCCCTGTTCTTCAGGTTCGAGCAAAAAAATTTTAACTTTTTGTCATTGTTGTAACACTGAACCTTGTTATTTTTCTATGATTAAAACCGAGTCATGAAATGTAGATGAAAAATATACCTCGACGTCTTTCAGTCCCATTTTATACGTTAATATTATTCTAAAATAAATACGAACAACAAGGACAGATTTCCATACCATCAGCAATAAAATCTACAGATGCTCTTGAAAACTGAAAGTGTCTGTTGCATATGGACCATTCTGTCAGATTTATAAGCGTTACATGTATTATGGTGTCTACTGCAAGGTACGAGTGCACAGAGATCCGAGAGTTATTAATATTTCTTGACATTTCAAATAAATTGATTGACCCCATAAGGTCTTCCAATGACCTGGTTGAGAACCTCTGTGACAGATGATCCGTTCACAGATGGCGCTACATACCCGGGTGTGGTGAATAACCATACAGTGACGCGTAACGTGAGTCACAGTAGTGCACGAGTCTCTGTGCAGTTCTGTGTTTCGTGGCATTTCCTGGAGTAGAAGATTTATATTAATCAGGTACGTAAACATTCATCGGTCTGACTTAATATTCCCACAAGGGAGATTCCGATCGTTACTTTACGTGGACTGTAACAGTCTGGGAAATGTAAAATATTTGACAGCAGTCGCCTCGCTGGAAGGGCGGCCATTGTTTATTGTGTCCTCGATTTTTTACTGTCTGAAGTGCTTTTCACAGTTGCAAAAATATATTTCCACATTTTCCTGATTGCAAATCGCTCGATATCGTGGATCACCGTGTCTTTTTATTTATACGAGGTCCTCATCGGAAAAGAATTATCCATAGTCAAATATAGCATGTACCGATATAGCCCAGCGAAAGTTTTCAGACAAAGAGCTTGAAAGTAAAATTAGAAAGTCGTAATTTAAAGTTGGGTCTTTATTCCTTGAAGGTATTACTAGGTCTATTCGAAAAAGGGACGAAAAGAAGGGAAATATAATACTGTCGACGATATACAAGAGAAAATCCACATGTCAAATAGTACGGCACACTTTGTAACGTCCTATTTTCGAATTTTGCCTTAAAAACGAATGAACACGTTTCTTGAATACACTGCAAACGTTTACATAAACTTACGATTATGGGGATTAATTTATAAAAAGGAAAAAGTAAATACAGTGTTCATAGTATTCGAAATTTAACTGCGGTTTATACCGTAAGAAATATTATAATTGTATGGATATCTGCAGTCTAATTGTGAGCAAGCATTTTTTAAAGACGTGATTGAACGTTTGAGTTTATTGTCCTCTTTATTGAGCCAAGTCTATGATCTTATTTTTATCTTGATATGGGTTGTGTTTGCCATTGCCCGAATAACTTTGCTATAAATAAATAGTCATTTGATAACAACGACCGGAATAATTATATACGGCTAACATTTTCATTTGCGTAACCTCGTTCCTCTAGATATAATTTAAACAAACAATGTATTCGTCATAACCTGTATTGGTTTAACCTCTTCACATGACGTACGTTTCTATTCTTTGAACGTCCATGTTTAAAACATTAATATTCCAAGAATTCAAGTTAAATATACTAAGGTATTAAGAATCAATCAGAATTAATTTATGAGAATCAAGAGGATTCCTAACTGATGATACAAAGCGAGCTGAATCTTTATTTATACTTGCAGGGTTACCAACATGTCCTCCCGCAAAACTGCCGGCCGTCGTGCAACGACAAAGAAGCGCGCGCAGCGTGCAACGTCCAATGTTTTCGCTATGTTCGATCAAGCTCAGATTGCTGAATTTAAAGAAGCTTTCAACATGATCGATCAAAATCATGATGGTTTCATTGATAAAGAAGATCTCCACGATATGCTTGCTTCTTTAGGTAAGCTGGATTCGTTTCCCTGTTTTTCAATAATAATACAATAATAATATAAGAACATTAGCAAGGTTTAACCGAGCTATTTGTTTACTTTTATGGCGTCGTACATTTTTAAACAAATAATCCATTGCTATCTAATTTTTACTTTGTAACGTTGGTAAGAATCGTTCCATCTGTACCGATAAATGGTAATTTTCTAGGTAAAAATCCTACCGACGAATATCTGGAGGCCATGATGAACGAAGCTCCAGGACCAATCAATTTTACAATGTTTTTAACGTTGTTCGGTGAAAGACTTCAAGGTACCGACCCGGAGGACGTAATTAAAAACGCGTTCGGTTGTTTCGATGAAGAAAATACTGGTCATATAAACGAAGAACGCCTTCGGGAATTGCTTACGACAATGGGGGATAGGTAACGTTTCATGCACTGACTAAAATTCAATGATACAATGAAAGTGGGAATAAATAATAAACGACTAAACTTTCGTTTTCCAATTTGAAGATTTACGGACGACGATGTGGACGAGATGTATCGCGAAGCTCCTATTAAAGGATCGATGTTCGACTACATCGAGTTCACACGGATCTTAAAACATGGAGCTAAAGACAAAGACGAGCAGTGAGAAAACTGTGGAATCATCTATTCTTCGTATTTGTGTGATTGATTGCGCATAACGCGCGTTTATATGGTTGCAATTGTAAAGTTTGAAATATTACTTGTATTTTGTACATCTCCTATTAATGAGAATAACTGAAAATCTAGGGTTTACATTATTTTGCAAAAGATTGCCTTGTCACTGGGTCCTGAAACGTGTAAGACTTCGGCTCGCACGAGCGTTTACCGTATTTATTTGAACGAAAGGCATGCAACTATAACCTGTCTTGCCACGAGATGCAATCACTGTCAGACTAATGAAATTGAAAAAAAAATGTAATATATTATATGCTACATAAATGTGTAGCTGTTGAGAAGTTGGCATTTATATTTTAATATAATATTATATACCGAAAGTATAGTGTCTTTATAACCACTCTATTCATTTAATTCAAGAGTAAAAGTCTCTTATCGAGTAAACATGAAATGGAAGACAACTCGATGTTAAAACTCGACTTCCACGTAAAATAAGCCGCAACAAACAATCCATCGATCATTTTCAAAATTACTCCCCGTAAACGAAGTGATTAAATTGTTTGGTTAGCTCCGTAACACTCGCAAATTCCAATAATCGAAAAAGAATAAACCACAGATTTTTATAGAATTCCATGAAATCACATACCTCTTTCATTAACATTTCATTCTCGTCCCTCGAAATCTCCGGAAAAATCCGCAAAAGAATGATCCCACACGAGGAAAAAGAAAATCAATTATCGCGACACACACGAAAAGGCGGTTCGAAATCTTCGAAAAGTGGCCTGGCCCGAGACGACCGAGCCACGATCGTTCTGCGTCTGCGCGCCGTTGCTTATATACAGTATACACGGAATAAAATCCGACGAAGCCGCAGTATCATTTCCACTAGTGGCGTAGTGGGGTCCGGCTCGTCTGTTGGTTTCCTCGGTTCTGCCGCTTTCCCTGTCGCGTCCTTTCGCTCGGTGGTTGTTTCGTTCCAGCGACCAGAACAACAGAGGACCGATCCGGTGGATACGCGCGGCTCCCAGTGCACCGAGGAGCATCGGCATTCGCCGATCTCCTTTCGATTCCCCTCCGAATCGAGGATCCTCCGATCGCGATCGTGGCCCGATGATCCACCGCGGCTCGCGGTGTGTTTACCAGTTTGGTGGATGTTGCCACAGTGAGTCACTGTGTCCCGCGTAGTCTGATCGTTCACCTAGTGCATATCACCTCGGGCTACGAAACGGCGACGACGACAACGACTGCTAGGCGAATCGGCGGGGGCGAGAAAGAGAGGGAGAATGAGACGAGGGACAGAAGCAGAGGCCGAAGCTGCCAGCCGCGAATTGGGTTACGTCCCGTTCGCCTGGCGACGATATATGACGCAACGGCCACCCTTCGCGAGTACCAGTGGTCCTCGTAATCTTTGCGTGTCGCTATAACTGCGACAGGACACTCTGTTGTCGCGTCGCTCCGGACACACGCGAAAATAATAATACGCTCGAGGTGTGCTCTCTCCATCCATGCGATCGTCTATCCCCGCCCCGTCGCGTCCACTCGATTGCGCAGCTAGTTTTGGAGGTTAGCCGATCACGATTGAGAAACTTGAACGAAAGCGACACCCACCGAGCGAGCCAACCGGATCAGCTGTTCCCCAGGACGACCTTTTCGCCGCTACCCCCGGTGAGTCTTTTCTTCTCATCGTCATCCATCGTCAAACTGTCAACCGAGCAGGACGAGTTTACTCGTCGCGAGCCTTCGGTCCCCGTCTTTTACCCACTTCCGGTTTCTCTTTCGTTTCGTCGATGTTTCGTGTTAATCGAACTCGCGTAGCTGTTTATCGTAATAGAATATTTATCGTATCGACCTTATTTATTTTCTATTGTATTCGCCTATTTATTCGAGATCGAGATATTATCACGCTAAGAATTCACATTGAATCCCTTGGACTCGGCGATCTGGGCGTTCTCCTGGACGTTTGCAATCTATTGCGCAATTGTTGCAACGTTCCGCTCGTTTGATTGATCGTCCCCGCCGAGGATTCATGGATTCACGACCGTCGTGAATGAAAATTGTTAATTGACATCGTTGCTCCGTTCGAATGAGTTACTCCGGTTCGAGCAGTTCGCACGGGGGAGTTTCGCTCGCATCGCGCTGGACTCCTCGAGGGTGCCTACAGCAGTTTCTCCGTACTCCGATTGCAGACGCTGCGCGTCGTATGAAATGCGATCAAGTTTTTGTCGGGTTGACAGTATACGCTTCTATTTGCCGTTGAGCGGAATGGACTCTCCAATTACCGGAGCGTATTTATAATTAACGAACGCGCGTACGGTCTGAAGATAAAAATACGAGACGAACCCCTCGATATTGAGCCTACCAGACGGGTACCAATGACCCAGTTCGAAATCTGTACCTCGCGATTGTCTCACGATCGGTATTAGAAAGAAAGTTCCCTGGGAAACTGGAAAACGAACAGGTGTACTCGCGCGAATATATCACCGCGAATAAGCGAATGTACACGGTAGTTGTAAGGTTGAATGCGAGAAGAACCGCGAGAGTGTTCCGTCTGCGCGCGGCAGTCGTCGACGGAATTTCCATTCTAGACAAAGGCTTGTCCCGCGATTGCACGAGTCTCGTGTTTCAAGCGGGACGTCGCTACGAATTGTAAATTACGCGGCCGTTAAATCGGGCGTGGATTTTAATATCGAGCTATAAACGACGCGGCAGTGAACGGGTACACGTCCATCCGGCACGTGACTATGGATGAGAGCGTTGTCAAAAGGAGCGTCGCTCCGCGAGTTGTCTTCGAGCGGCTCTTTTTACAAGAGTCCTTTATTGCGTCGCGAGTCCCCCGGATGGTAATTACCGTGCTGCCGCCGATACAATGAAAAATAGAGCTCGTTCATTCGGCGAGGCCACCGCCGCGGGGCTAACCGTGCCCCCGCGAACAGTTCCGCGCGCGGATTCGCCGCGTTTTATCGAATCGCGCGCAAAATGGTAACCGTGCACGTTGCGTATGTCCCGCGCGCGTAACACGATCCAACGCTCGGACAACCGGTCGTATCGCTTTGATATTGCATAACGCGCGACGCGCGACCACGGAACGATATTAACGCGACAGCGCAGCGAATTTAACCTGTTAACCCGACTGTTTACCGATTATTTCGTTTTCCCCTGGATCAGGGATGATCTTTGCAATTATCGTTCAATCAATCGAACGGCTCCATTTGGAGTGCGAGGGAATATATTATTTCGCGTTGAAAATTCTTCGTAACGTCGGGGATGCGCGCGGTTCAACGATAACGAGAAAATGAACCGTGCAATTAAAACGGTCTTAGGTTCCACAGGAAGTTTCTTAGAGCTTCATGCGGGACAAACGCGTTTTCTCATTGGTATTCGAAGGATTAGCCGGGCAGTATTCATGGCGGAGCGTAATATTCTCTAACGGACAGCCGGGAGTTCGAAGAATACCAAGGAGAGACCTGAAATAACCGTATAAGGCGATGGAGGCGACGCGAAGAGGATCGGAGAAGAATGAAAGGAAGAAAAAAAGGAATCGTCTTATTAGTTACGCGAATAAGAGAACGAGAAATCGTCGAACGGCGTGGTTGTCACGCGAACGACGAATCAACTCGTCCCCGTGGGTTAACGGGTCAGCACGTTTGCTCTTAATTCAGCGGGTCTGGTTCAGTCCGCGGCGCTGCGTCCGTAATTCGCGAGCGAAACGTCCTCCGTGGATCGATCCCGGAAAAAAAGGCTGCAGCGCGGCGCGGCGCGGCGCGCCGGCCGGCCTCGCTTAATTAAGAAATTACGTGGCAACTTGTCTCCGCGAGAACTACCGCGACTCGATCTCCCGCGGAGATATACACGCTTCGCGGAGAAAAAAAGGAGGATTTTTCAAAGGAGAAACAGGGCTCTCGGAGAGCTCGTCGAACAGGAAGTCCGGCTGATCCGTATAGCGTTACGCACGAAACGAAGTCCGGCCGATTTTTCTCGTTTCTCGTTTTCGTGTCGCCGTTCCACCTGCGAGCGAACCAGTTATCGGGGAGAAAAACCGCTGGGACGTGGAAGCGGTATTAGTAGGCTAATTGCATCCGAGTCAGGGACGTTTCTAATACGCGGCCATGTTTTCGAAACGGGTCGCTCCAGATACCGACGCGCCGACCAGGCTAATACCTTTAAATCTGTTACGCGATTTCGTATTCCGTGTCGCGCCGCGCCGCTCCGCGAATCCTCGTTCTTTCGCGTGCCGCGGTGTTTCGCCGGAGCCGCCTAATGCGGATAACATCCTCTCGCCGTGGCTAATAGTTTTATAAAATTATCACCGGTTTACGTAACGCGCCTCGAGACTCGATCGACCGTAACCGGAGAGTTTCCACGGATGCTCCGCGTATTTCGCGGACTTTTGCTTATTGTTGGATCGATCCGTTTACTCTCGCGATCCGGTTGAAACGATGTTACGTCGTTGTACGCGTGAATTGCAACATCGACAGTCGGACTCGCGGCGGAGCTCGTTCGAGTCCGTGTAGGTTTTATACAACGATGTTCTCACCGGAACTCCGACGTACATGCGAGGGGCAGATCCAACGGAAGGTTTAGCCGTGTGTGACGAGAGCACGTTTATCGTGTTCCACGTTTTTCATCGATCATCGATAATCGTGTTCCAATTTAAAGACGCGAGGGCGAAGGAAATCAATTAATCACAGGTAGCCGGGTACTTACGTACAACATCATTTCCTTTCGGACGCTCTAATATAGCGGTCCAGTTACGCGATCCTGTCCGCGCGAACGCCTCGCGCGTAGATCTTGCTCCGGCGCGGGACGCGGAGGCAACCGGGAACCCGGTGGATATTGCGCCGCCGAGAATTTCAGCGCGGCTCTTAATCCGTTCACCGTGGAAGACGAGTTAACTCGTCGATCTTGGTCAACCGTATCTTCTAATAACTTCTTTTTTGTCGAAAGATTCTTGCGTTTGATTGTACTGTAATACCAGCAGCGGAGCAAATTACGCGAAACTCATACACGTTTATTACGGTACGAATTACTTCGGACCGTTATCATTTATCTGAAATCGCGAGCGGGCACCGTCGCCGCTCGAAGAACCGGCCGGTTAACAGGTTAAACGTATCGGGTCTAGCCGAGCAGATATATTTGAATGAAATTGGATGTCTGCGGTGGACAAACCGCAGTTCGTACCAACCTCTGTTTTTTATCACCGGAACAATTTCCCGTAAAAACCGTACGACCATCTGTTCCACCGTCGAATGAGACTGACATTGTACCTGCTCGGTTCGTAAGGAACTTGGACAGGTCTCCGAAACTTTTCGCATCGGCTCACCCGCGTAACTCTTCGCGATACGACGTTGCAAAGTCTCTTTCGCGGGTCTAATCCGTTGAAGGCCTGTTTCGATGCGTGTCGCGTCACGCGTTGGAAACTTCGCGTTGATACGGTCACGTTTATCGATGGAACGCTTATCGCCAGACACCGCGAAACTGTCGGAATACGATCAGCACTCGGAGACATCTGCATACGATACGCATACTCGGATCAATTCGAGCCGAGTCTGCGAACTTTCCGATGCCACTCTGGCAGAACACTTTGACGGAGGAAGTCAAAGGAGACAGCGAACTTTTTACGGAATAAAACTGAAACTGCAGGGTATTATTAACCCAACGTTGCAATTAACTTGACTGATAGCCGCTTATTAAAGACACGGATGACCGGAAGATACTCGAAGAAGACATTAACAACGCTCGCACTTTTTATCCGCGAGCGCGTTCTCGCCAACGGGATGATTAGCTACGTTAGTCACGTGACGATCGCGCTGGTGGAACGATGAAGCACGAGCGAGAGTGTGCCACAGCCGCGTCACGTCGCACGTGACGCGACCGCGCGGTCCGAGAGCATTCTCGTCGGATCGAACGCGATTCGGCCAACTAGATGCCCGATAAATAAGTTGTCGATGGCCAGCATTACCCGGCTCGTATCGCGGAGGTCGGTTCTCGGAACGTGTAATTACGTTATCCGCAGGAACCGGGAACCGGCTACTCGCGCATTAACTCGGCCGCGTTCGCCCGCTAAAATTATCGCGAAGCTGCGCTTAATAATCGTTCGCCGAGTTTAGGTCAGTCGTTCTCTCCGGCGGCGACGGCGCGGCCGGAGGAAACTCGCGTTAACATCACCGGAAATTGCTGCTTCGTTTGTTGGATAGCATTCCGGGGCGTTCAAGAATTCACGAGCCGTGCCCTCACTATTTTCGGATCGCCCAGGGAAATGGCTGAAGGGCTTTCCAGCCTAGCTTTCCGTGCTTCCCGCTGTTATTCCCGGTGTTTTCTCTGGCTGTTCGCCGCTCGACTTCGGCCGGGCGCTAATTACGCCGGTTCGCCGATCGCGGCGATAGCGCGCGCGGAATCGCATGCTCGCGAAAGTCTATCGACATTTTTTCAAGGACAGCCGGCATTCCCGCCGCGATACCGCTCTGGCATTTCCTGGTCGCGCGGGGCTACGAAATGTCGCGATTTTCATTCCGCCTCGCGAACGGTTACGGTTCAGAATACGCGCGCCGCGGCATAAAACTCCCGGTTCTTCCTTATGCGCGATCCAATGACGTCGTATAAAACTGTTATTTGGTATCGCTTCAAGGTCAACCTACACTCCCCTCGTAAAACGCTACGTATCCTCG